TCACTGTCATCGTCGTCGGAGGCAACGCGCTCGGTCGCACCATCGCTCAACGGCCGCGGAGCGTCGACACATCGTTCGTCGGAGTCAACCAAGGGCTCTGATGACTTCGTAGACTTTCTCCCACGACCTTTGCATTTCCTGCGACCAAATGCGTGCACGGTCCGATACTTTTTTGCGTTTCCAGGCATGGCGATACGATCAGAAGCTTCAGAGTGCTCTGCCGATTTCGAGGCGTCACAGCGGTAACCCTTTCAAAATGGCGTCGGGTCGCGTATGCAGGCGCAAGCCCCGAGCTTCCAGCCAACCGGAAAGCGCCATTTCAGTCACGTGCACCGTTTAGCCAATGGCAGTGAGCGCGGCTCTTCGTCTTTGAGGCCCGGTTTTTGGGGCGGGGGAACGCTCAATGTTGCTTACTGAATAAAAAAAAAAACAGCTGAAAACGCGTTCTTTCAAACAAGACCAAAATGGCGCCGATCGAGCGCGTAGTTCCCGCGTATCGTAGAGCCGAAACCTGCGCTATTCGCCCTCAATTTAAAGGGCAGGACGCCCGTTTTCGGTTTTTTAAAGTTGAATAACGATAAAAGTTGCGGTTGTTCGTCAAGAGCTATCGAATGTCGGCCCACATACTGTTCCTACCGTATGCTCTGCTGAGCCTTCTTATCGTACCCCTTCTGCGCCTCGCATACAACGCAATCCGTACGAATGGCGTACTCTTGATGACAGGCCCATATGTTTTAACTGTCGACGCGTTGGTCATATCGCTCGTCACTGCCGCAGCCGCTGGGCTCCACCGTCCCATTATGCACCTCAGTATCACGCCACTTATGCTCGCCAGTCGTCCCCATCACTTTCTCCATCAACGCCGACCACATTTTCCGCTCCTACAGCACCTCTGAGCAGACCTCGCTACGACCGGTCACCGTCCCCTGCTCGTCGTCAGTCCCGGTCGCCCCCACAACGCCGTGCTGCCTCCCCAACCTATTCGCAGCACCTCCGACCGGAAAACTAGGCCGTGCAGCTTCTGGAGGCGGAGCTGCGTTGACGACCTTCGTAAGAAATCCTCGATTAACGTTAACAACGAACCAGAACATTTTGGACGTTACTGTCGACAATGTTCGTGTCAGTGAATTGATGGATACTGGCACGCATGTGTCCATTATGAGTGCTAACCTTCGCCGCCGACTTAAAAAAGTTGTCACGCCCGCCCTCAACCGAGCTGTACGAGTCGCCGATGGAGGAACTGCCGCAATTCTTGGCATTTGCTCTGCGCGAGTGTCTATTGGGGAGAGAAGCACTGTCGTTCTTTTCGCCGTTATCGATCATTGCCCTCATGAACTCATTCTCGGTATGGATTTTCTAGCCACGCACTCTGCCCTCATACTGTTCAGCTGGCTCTCTCCATCTCGATTTACCCCTCTTTTCCGACCCGACCAGCCCACCGCTAACCAGCCTCTGCTGCATTGATTTCACGTGCCTCACTCCTAACTCTGTCACACATGTCGACTTATCCTCCACGCCGCCAGTACCTGATGGTGATTACATGGTAGCCCCGATTCTTGCCGTGATGCTTACGCATGGGGTTGCTCTGCCGCATATGATTCTGACGATTACGAGAAATCGCACCGTCCTTCCACTGGTCAACTTTTCCCTCACCACACAAGTTCTGCCACAGGGTATCTCTCTGGCCAAAATTACCGCTCTCCAAGATGATCATGTCGAGCCCTTCAGAGTTGACGATTGCTGCAGCTCAGTCAGTGGTTCCACTCCATCACGTTCTTTGGGGCGCCGACATCGAGCGAATGGTGTCATCGGACCTCACGTCTGAGCAAGCTACAGCGCTTTGCCACGTTCTTGAGGGCTATCGTAGCATTTTCGACTTTGCCAGCAACTCTTTAGGCCAAACGACCATTGTCACCCATCGCATAAATACTGGGCATGCAACTCCCATTCACCGACGCCCCTACCGCGTGTCTGCATCGGAGCGTGCAATATTACAACATGAAGTCGGCAAAATGCTTACGAAAAACATTATCGAGCCTTTATGCAGCCCCTGGGCTTCTCCAGTCGCCCTTGTTAATAAGAAAGATGGAACATGGCGCTTTTGTGTCGATTACCTGTCACCTTAACAAAATTACCAAAAAAGACGTTTATCCTTTACCTCGCATCGACGACGCCCTCGACTGCCTGTACGGTGCCACTTATTTTTCAACTATTGACCTTCGGTCAGGGTACTGGCAGATAGCCGTCAACGAGATGCACCGCGAGGAGATCGCATTCATCACTCCTGATGATCTTTATCAGTTTAAGGTGATGCCTTTTGGTCTCTGCAATGCACCAGCCACATTTGAAAGAATGATGGACTCACTGCTCAAAGGGTTGAAATGGTCCACCTGCTTGTGTTACCTTGACGATGTTATTGTCTTTTCGCCCACATTCGTTTGTCAGCTATTCTGGACGTTTTTCATCGAGCCGGACTCCAGCTTAACGCCTCCAAGTGCCACTTCGCTCGTCGTCAAATCTCCGTGCTCGGTCACCTTGTCGGTGCCCAAGGCGTGCGTCCAGACCCAGAGAAAATTTGTGCAGTCACGAACTTTCCCGTTCCGAGGACCACGAAGGATGTCCGCAGTTTTGTGGGGTTGTGCTCATATTTCAGACGCTTTGTTAAGGACTTTGCGACCATTGCACAGCCCCCTCACAGACCTCTTGAAGAAAGACGCCTCGTTTATCTGGGGCCATGACTAAGCGTCATCGTTTTCGCAACTTACGACACTGCTCAGAACGCCTACCAATCTTGGCTCACTTTGATCCATTAGCCCCAACCGAGGTTCACACGGACGCCAGTGGACACGGCATAGGAGCTGTGCTATTGCAGCAACAATGGGGACATGGCCGTGTTATAGCCTACGCAAGTCGACTGCTATCTCCAGCCGAGCGCAACTATTCCATCACGGAGCGCAAGTGCCTCGCCCTTGTATGGGCAGTCACCAAGTTTCGTCCATACCTGTACGGGCGCTCATTCCGTGTTATCACGGATCATCACGCGCTCTGCTGGCTAGCCTCCCTGAAGGACCTCACGGGACGTCTCGCTCGTTGGGCTCTACGCCTTCAAGAGTACACGTTCTCTGTAATGTACAAAACAGGGCGATTACATCAGGATGCGGATTGTTTATCCCGCTACCCTGTTGACGAAGCAACCGATACTGGCGCTATCACAGACGTTTTTTCCGTGTCGCAGCTGTTGAACATTGGCGAAGAGCAACGCCGGGATGCTTCTTTATGAGCCATCATTGACAAACTGGAGTCAACGCCTCGCGACCCGTCCCTACGAATGTTTTTGGTGAAAGACGGGATTCTATATCGCCGTAACCTTGATTCCTTCAGATTAGACTTACTTCCTGTAATCCCAGCGCACCTGCGTTCCACTGTCCTGCGTCAACTTCATGACGCTCCCATGACGGGCCATTTGGGTGTTTCTCACACATACGATCGGGTACGACAACGGTTTTTTTGGGCTGGACTTGCCCGCTCTGTTCGACGCTATGTCGCCGCTTGTGAGCCCTGTCAACGTCGCAAAACGCTGTCTGCCCTCCCAACCGGCTACCTTCAGACGATCGACGTTCCCAACGAGCCTTTCTTTCGAGTTGGTCTCGACCTGTTGGGCCCTTTTCCACTCTCCACAGCCGGAAATAAATGGATTGCTGTTGCCACAGACTACGCGCCGCAGTACGCAATCACACGAGCACTCCCGACCAGCTGCGCTATCGACGTTGCGGACTTTCTGCTGTACGACATAATATTAGTGCACGGTGCTCCCCGTCAACTTCTCACCGACCGTGGCCGCACGTTCTTATCAGCTGTCGTTCATGAAATCCTGAGGTCTTGCCATACCAAGCACAAATTTACTACTTCGTACCATCCCCAGTCAAATGGCCTCATGGAGCGCCTTAACAGGACCCTAACCGATATGCTTGCCAAATACGTTGTGCCAGACCACCATGATAGGGACATTCATCTGCCGTATGTGACGCTCGCCTACAATTCATCTCGTCGCAACTACTGCCGGCTATTCTCCCTTCTATCTACTATATGGCCGGGACCCAACTCTACCCTTAGACACTTTACTACCTGCGGCCACTGAATATGCTGGGGAAGCTATTGCCCGCGCCGACCACGCGCGCCAAGTCGCCCGTAACCGTCTACAGGCTTCACAGGCGTGCCAACAACAACTCTACAATTCTCACCATAGGGACGCGCACTTTTCTCCGGGTTCTCTCGTGCTCCTCTGGTCACCTACTCGGCGTGTGGGACTGTCTGAAAAACTGTTCTCGCCCTGCACTGGACCATTCCGTATCGTTCGCCAAGTGACAGACGTCACGTACAAGATTGTTCCAACCGATCCAACAAAGTCATCGTCAGCTCCGAGCGACACCGTTCACGTGGCTCGGCTAAAGCCCTATTACCCCCCTTTGACATCATCAGAGTAAATTTAGCACCGGGACGATGCTTCTACCGCTGGGGGTTATGATACATAACAGCCGCTAAACACGGCTGCATGAAAGAGGAGGACGAAGTGAGTTTTCGTTTGACGCGGGTCTGGTGCCATCTTGCTCGTTGAGTTTTGTGCGCTGTAAATAGATCATTAAACAAGTTACTCGTAACATTATGAAGTGATGTGGCATGTTTGTTTGATGTTTTTTGATAGCAATAAGAGGCACCTGTTTCATGCTCCAGTCATGTTAATTTACCAACGTACTCCTCCTCCTTCCGCTGCAAGGGGTCCCTCATCACTTCCACCAGTACACAAGGGATCCCCAACACATCCATTGCTGAGAACCACTGAAGTACAACACTGCCGCTGCCATAAAAACCTGCAACTTGTACCAAGCTTCACTTCAAAATGTGTGCTAAGAACTGGGCAAAAATGTCAACAATTCCCTTGAAGACAAGGACATACTAGACTGTCCACCGTACCGTGATCAAAGAGCGATAAAGGCACCCACCAAGACAGATGGCTTCACCCTTGGTTGTGATGACAACGACCTCCTCGTTGAGCTCAATGCCATCCTCGTAGCGCAGCACTCCGGGCAGCATTACCTTGGCACCATAACACACTGCATTCACCTGCACAGCAAAGGTTTAATTTTTTTTCTATTGTTGGAATGGAGGCATTTGTATTTCCGCTTGATAAATTTCCACGGCTGTGTTCGAACTAATGTGGTTGGAAAGTACGCACACCTTGGCACACGAGACCACTGTTCAAATTGCGGGTGGCAGCCAGTCGCTTCACTATTCCTATGTTTAGCCTATTGAGGTGGGCTCGGTGTGCCACGTGCAACAATGTGGCATTTGGGGCATCCTGTCTTCTCAGTGCACTTCTTGGAGCTACTCGCCAGCAATCACCGCACTCATTCCACAATTTAGGTTTACTTGTCAAACTGCTGCAGTACACTCAAACCTCGTTATAACAAAGTCAAAAGATAGCCACCATTATTTCGTTATATCCATTATTTCATTATAGATTATAATAGTTTGTAGCAATGTATGCTCAGATGGGCGCACACCTATAAGCATGCAAAGAAGGAAACCGCCTCGCGGCCCGATATATCGCAACGAGACCACGCGTGCCACAGAAAATAAACTCAGTCGAGTCTCATTGCAAACTTCCGGTTAAATCGAACTCACGCTAAGGTCCCGTCAAAGCTATGTGTATTCCAATGGGCGAAAACGCCCTGTAATTCTAACGCGCAAGCACTTGCGACGGTTCATTCGAACATACCGTGCTCCGAAAATGCTCTCAGCACTATGCCCAATCTCGCAGCGGCACCTCTCAACGCTGTGCGTGAAGGAAAAGAAGAAAAGGAAAGAAAAGACTGTGGCGGATTGTTTTCTCTCTCTCAAATGCCGATCTGCGACACGCCAGTGCCATGCCTCTCCCTTTTCGGTCTCTGCAAGTAGAGACCCTTCTCCTTTCAAGGCCACGTGCGGAGAGAGAAGAAAAAAAAAAAAAAGAAAGCTGTCGCAGAGAGCCCTTCTTTCTCGGTGCAGAGAGTAGCAGCCATAGTAGCAGCGGAGATGCAGTCGTTGCCGTCGTGAGAGGGAAATCGCTTTGCACCGCGGCGCCGCTTCTCGGTCTTGTGACTCGCTGAGCGCTTCCTCAATCCTCTCCGCTGGCTGTGTGAGGAGGACAGCTCTCTCAATCGCGCGTGGCGTGGCTGTAAGGTCAGTGCGGGAGTTTTGAAGGAGCAACGCCGAACAAGCGTCAAACTCCACAGAAAGCGATATACTTAACACACTATGGTCGGTTTTTTGATAGACTATTTAATATACTAATTTAGTTCGTTATATCCATTTACCAGTCAATTCTACTTTGTTACAAGGAGGTTTAAAATGCATGGTTCTCAATAAAGCTTTCAAGGGTAATTTCATTTACTTCGTTATATCCATTATTTCATTAAACATCGTTAAGTTATAACAAGGTTCAAGTGTATTTTAGCATGTAAGGTGTTGTGCTCTTCTTTTGATATATGCAACCGATATCTGCATACTACACGGTGTTCTGACACAACGACGATCATCAATATTCCTGCACAATGATCCGACTGCGAGACACCTGGGCGTTCCATGCAGGTATCAGTGCGTGTGGCATCAGTTTTTTTTTTGCCTGGCTTGTATCGTTCTGCAAGTGCGCCGACCCATCACTGCTCTCAAGCACTGTCAGAACCGGAAATGCCTGGCTCATCCACAGCCTGGCCTGCTGAAACCACTAGAACAATTATTTTACATCTGCTTTGAGTTACTCAAAGCACGCACACACAACTACTTGAGGCAGAAAACCAATATTGTAAACAAAGATAAAGATGGCAGTGACCATGAAAGTGCAATGTGGTGGTACCTCACATAGTTTAAGCAAGAAGCAAAAGGTGTATGAGTGGACGTCAGGGTATGCTGACCTTGCACAAACAATGTGAGGGGAAACATCTTGTCCATTTTTGTTGTAAAGAGATTGAAGTGTACCGATATTTTTTCTGTCGCAGAATAAGAGATACTCAATCCCATGAGCGTTACAGAGGACAACAAAATATTTCGTTATTGAACGATTTCGTTGAGGGTTTTCACTGTAGACACTGACATACAAAGCACTTTTTACCCCTCCTGTTTGAACAAAGCTTTCAAATTTTTGAGGGTAGACATATGCCAGGTACAAGGTAGACACACAAGCTAGCCTTAGACTTTTGCAGAAGCAGCTCACCGCACTGTCCTTCATGACCATGCGCTTATGGCTGACCAGCAGGCGTTCTAGAGGCTGGATGGCTCGGCGCAGGTAGTCCTCATTGCGGTCATTCTCGTACATCCATTGGGCGTCCAACACATCGTGCATGGTCACCATGTTGCTCTGAAAACAGAACACACACGATGAAGCAGCCCTCCAGCACAGCCCAGTCACATGCATCATCTACACAGTTGCTGCAGGTAAAACTTCTTGTGACAACACTGACTTGAAACTTTATGCTGGAACGAGCTTGTTACAACAGTATTACTAGCTCTGCTAACTCCTCTCCCTTTTTTCCTTCCATGGGGATCAGCTACAACAATGAAGTCTTAGCGGCACTCAAGTGCAGGGCTTTCACTTCACAGGACGAGGCAAGCACTATTCTGAGATAATTTTCCACAACCATGAAATAATAATAATAATAATAATAATAATAATAATAATAATAAGATTCAGACTTTGTCTATGTGGTTTTCCATAAAGATACAATAGATTCCCTTCAAGATGAACTCGAAGAGACCACAATCATTTGTTCGTCTTATCAGAAGTGTCCCTCCTCAAACCAAATGCTAACCTGCCAAGTACGCCCAAATATGTTGCTTGAAAACACTGAATGAAGTTCACTTATAATGGGGTGGAAAGGAACAAGAAAAAACATTTATTTGGCTCAGCTTGATAAAAACTATGCTTTCAAGTATAGTTATTTAGGCTAATCTAATGAGTACTCGATCTCGTGAGTTCATAAATAAATTGCTACAACATTTTAACTATAAAACTGTAGTGCGACCCTATTTTGATTATAAAAAGACGAACAGGAAAAGACAAGCATAATTTTCCTTTAAGGGATGTAAAATTTATTCTCCCAGCTGTTCACCTTCCGAGAGGCTGTTTTACTGGCTTTACTATCACTTTTGAATACGCTACTATTGCATACCGTTACCTTGATTTCAATAAGCGACTTGACACGCCAAGTCGCTTATTGAAATCTACAAGCGTTTCCTTGAGGTTTGGATATTTTCTTATTTCCAGCCCACGGTAACATTTCCTGAACGACATGCAGCTGAAAATCTCCATTTACACTACTCACGATCACAAGCCTTGGGCACACAAAAAAGAGAGGACGGAGCTATATTTAGTGCGGAAAATCGCCTGCCGTTGTCGTGCACTTTCATAATGAGATTGGCGCATCACAATTTGCTGCATTTCACTGCGAACAAACACGACATATATAAGCCCTATGCAAAACAACGCAAACTGACCACAACATATGCTCTGGTGCCATTGCGCGACAGCAATGACAATGCATTTGAATCCTCTGATGGGAGTGCTAGTGCTGCATCTGTAGTTTCCATTTCATGTAATTGTATTGTACAGACAATCTTTGTTACCGTTTTCACTTTCATTGGGCTCGTTTGCCCTAACTCGTCTTAACAGAGTTCATCGTAACGAGAGTTTAGTGTAATCTGGAATTGCAGAAAGAGTTGCAGAAGCCCCAAAACCTTTTTTCTGCATAGTCAAAGCTGCTGTGTAAATGAGTTGTAGCAGCAAGCAATAAATATTTACACACTAGACTCTCATCAAACGAAGCCTGAAAGGGACAAAGGGACCAGGAACACATATTCCATTTAGCAGGAGTTCCTTTTATTGAGAGATCAACAGAGTTGCAGAATTAAAGTACTAAACAAATCATATTAGAAGAGCCAGTTGTTCCATATAGCATCAGTTCTGTTTAAAAGATCTCTGTTTAGTGGGAGTCTACTTAACACTGGCAGGTGAGACCAAAAGTTGCTCCACCTCATTACAGTCAAACCTAGTTAGTGCGTACCTGCTTAAGCATACTAGCGGTTAAGACATAGTTGTGAAAAATCCCCGACCGAGTTTCATAGAGACTAATGCATTCGCGGATCGCTTAAGCCGTAGTGTTTGGCTAATGCCTACCAGTTAGTGCGTACTAACTGGGTACCGCGGTAACATTTTGGGCCACATTAACTTTACCGAGTCAATGAACTTCCCGACGCCACAATGTGCTGAGAACAGTTTTCCGTTTTGTTGATATGTGGGGAGATTTGTCGATGAGCTATTCCGACTTCCGCGATGACATTGTGAGTAATCACCGAAGAAAAAACGAAGGCAAGGTGGTGACCACCAATAAACATGCCGGTATGACTTATCGCCAACAAAAGCCTTACCACAGTAAGCATCCCCGGTTATCTGCTCGGGCACGCATGTGGTGTAGTGTCACTTTAGGCCTACTGCACGCTTTTAGTAGGCGATCACCTGAACGCGCTGGGCCACCGATAGCTGCCACTTTGTTGTGTGGGACAGTTGTGTGGACAGTTACAGAAACGCAAGCAGCTCGCTGTCGCGGAGTTTATCGTTGCGGGTCGTGAGCACCGAGAAACCTTGCTGCATTATGACAACACTCGCACCATACAGCAAGCGCAGCGCTGTTGTAATCATGCTTGCATGCTTTTATTCAGCGACAGCCCAAACACGCCTCCGTCCGTTGCCAGGACTGCTAGAGCATCGCAGAGAGCGCATTACTTGCTGAAAGCTCTTCGTCCCCTCGTCAACCCAGCATTCTACTCGCCGCATTTGTGCACGGCCTGTGCATGACCATACCGCGTTTAAAAAGAGAGAACTGCATCTGTTTTCGCTTAAAAAGAGACCGGAGAACAACTATCATGGACAGCCGGTTGTGTCCATTCTGTCGCTGTACCACGCTGCGTATCGTGTAACCCGCTGTAATACAAAATGCTCATCGGCGTTGCCACCGCGTGCTATCAGGCGGTTGTACGAGAGTTAAAAACTTTTCTGCACGTGGGCAAAAAGAAAGAAATGACTTTTCGGTGGGCACTTTAGGTAAATATCCAGAGTTTCTTCCTTTGTTGGTGCCAATTAAGCATGTCAGGAGATGCAAATTTGTAGCTGATGGTTAATGCACAGTACGTTTAGTGTGTAGTTATGCTGCCGTCCCCAACAGGTACGTATTAACGGGGTCTCACTGTATTGAGGTGATGATGGTCTTGTTACTAAGTGGTTCTCTTACAGCATATTCCCAATGCACTTTACTCCCAGCATAGTTCCACGCTGGCATCAATCAAGCTCCTGCCACCAGAGAAAACATTGCTTGAACTATTTTTGCGCAAGAATCCATTCGTACCCCTCTAGCTGCAGTCACTGTTACACTGTTATTAGCCTTTCTTCCAGGCATATGCATGTCCACTGTTTTTACCGTACTAGTGACGTTTCCTGGAAATTCACGAGCATAATCAGCAGGAGTGCATTTCCTAGCAGACCAGTCCAGATTGTGTGCACCCCTATTGTCTCAGATCTCCCGATGAACGATTCCGTTGCATGCAAACAAAAACAGAGAAAAAAAGTGCCTACATTCTCGTCTTGAATGCCCGATCTGACACGTCGCAGCTCCTCCATGACAGCTCCTGTACCCAGCAGCAGGCCAATGTGCACGCAAAGCGTCCTCACATATGTTCCGGCCTCGCAGCTCATCCACAACACACCTACAAACACCAACAACACACTTTGGTGTCACCCTCCTGTTTTTTTCACAGCCACATAATAGTAAACACTGTTGGCAGCAAAGGTCACCCTGCCACCTTAGCTGAAAAATAGGGACTGCCCAGTGGGAATTTACAAAAATGGCTATAGTGTTTTATGTGGAACGTCAATTACATAGTAGACTAAAGAGATCATGAAAATTTGTTTGTCCCATCAAAAGTTTGGCTTCTAAGAAGTACCCCCCAAAAGATATGACAACAGGCTGAAGACATCTAAATATAGAAGACAACAAGAAGGTTAGATGTGCTGGTACAACATGATTCAAAATGCATATTAGAGCAAATGAAAAGAGATTAATGAAGAGACTGTAGTAAGGCTTTTCAGAGAAATAGGCTGTTGAAAGTGTAGCGCTCTATGTCCTCCTTTCTGTGTTCTGTTATTGTTTCCACTGATATGCACACTTAGGCATTCTTAAGCACAGTTAACCCTCGTCAATGCGAAGTCACTGGGCAGGTGATACATCTTTGAGTTACCGTATATACTCGTGTAAGAGCCGCCCTCGTGTAAGGGCCGCACCCCAACTTTGAAAGCGGATATTTCGAAAAAAAAAAAACAAAAGTTCAAAATGTCCCGCCAGAAAAGTGTAGTTAGTTCATTTACAGCCAGATGGCGCTGCACGCTTTTCCGCTTTTATTCTACTTCCGCCGACGCGCCGACCACGCTGTTGACAGCGCGCCGCCATATTTGCCTTGTGCGGCCTCTTTGTTGGCATCGTTCCTAGCATCGTGTCGATACGTTGGCAGCGCGACTTCAGATCGGTGTCGTCGGTGTCACTTTGTTGGTTGTAGTGAACCCTGCAGAAGCCAGCGCACGTGACGGACGATGGGCCGGCATCTGAGATCATTCACTGCAGCATTTAAGCTGCAAGTGATTGACTATGCCGAGGAGCACGGGAAGCGGGAAGCTGGACGAAAGTACGACGTCGATGAGAAGCGCGTGCGTTACTGGATGAATCAGAAAGATGCCCTCGCCGCTACTAACAGGAGCCGAAAGGCGTTTCGCGGGAAAAAGTGCAAGTACCCGCAACTCGAAAGCGAGCTCGTCAACTACGTCGTCGACACACGAAGGGACGGCTACGCCGTATCGACTGACATGATACGCGTCAAAGCCCTCAGCATCGCTCGCCACATGGAAATACCCCCGGCACAATTCAAGGCAAGTCGGGGCTGGGCTACGCGGTTTATGAACCGTAACCAGCTTTCTATTCGGCGCCGAACGACGATTTGCCAAAAACTGCCGCGCGAGTACGAAGACCACGTCATTAAGTTTCATCGCTTCGTGAATGCTCTCAGGAGGGAGCATGAATACGACCTGTCCCAAATTGGGAATGCGGACCAGACACCTGTGTGGTTCGATGCACCGGAAAGCACCACAGTGGATTTAAAAGGTGCGAAAAGTGTGTCTGTGCGCACGACTGGTGCAGAACGCCAAAGGTGCACTGTGATGTTGTGCATCACGGCAGACGGCAGGAGGCTTCCGCCGTACGTCGTATTTAAAAGGAAGACTCTCCCAAAAGAGAAGTTCCCTCAGGGAATCGTCGTACGTGCGCAAGAGAAGGGCTGGATGTCCGAGGAACTGGTCGTTGACTGGATTAAGACCGTCTGGGCAAACAGACCTGGAGGGCTGTTACAACGGAAAGCCCTCCTTGTTTTGGACAGCTTTAGGGGCCACTTGACCGACCGCGTCAAGAACCGAGTTGCCGCAACTCGTACGGACTTGGCCGTCATTCCCGGTGGCCTGACGAGTGTGCTGCAGCCGCTCGACGTATGCGTCAACAGACCATTCAAAGTGGAATTTCGCCGATGTTACTCTGAATGGATGGCTGGAGGCGTCCACGAGAAGACCCCTACAGGACGGCTGAAGCGGGCGTCGCTCCAACAGGTGTGTGAATGGATTTTGAATGCGTGGCGTGCCATGTCAGTAGAAGTAGTTGCTAAAAGCTTCAAGGTAACGGGAATTTCGAACTCCATGAACGGCACCGAAGATGACCGTCTCTGGGAAGACGCGGACGCCGAGGCGAGCTCCTCCGAGAACGAGGACAGCGAAATGGAATCCGAATAAAAACATTTCTGGCATGTCATTTGTGACTCTTGCACTCTGCTACTGTTGCATAAACAGTACAGACCTTTGGCCTGTACTGCCTGTACTAAATCGGCCTGATTCGTGTAAGGGCCGCACCTAGCAAAATTTTCGAAAAAAAAGTGCGGCCCTTACACGAGTATATACGGTAAGTGGGGACGCGGCCTTTGAAAACCTAAAAATCGCGAAAAAGTCGATTTTTGGCAAACCACATATTCGGGCAGTATGTGTCATAAACTACCTTTTCTGTAAATATCAACGTCTAATTCGTCTCGAAACCATTTGAAATAAAGTTTAGAACATGCCGCGGCGGCCCTCGAGCGGCGCGCGAGCGCTCAAAATACCCCAACTTGGCGTGATCGCAGTTTCTCGACCGCTCGACGGAGCGCCGCCATTTTGGTGTTATTTTGTTTGTGAATTCTTGCTCTTTCTTTACCCGCCACCTGCGTCGCCGGCGGCAGCGCAGGAGAGGAGCAAGCCGCTCATGATTGGAGGGCTCGCGAGAGCTTTCAAGTTTCCCGCGGCTGAGGCGCGCAGCTGGGATTGGGCAAAGCGCGTGCTCCCCAAGGACGCGGGGGAGCCCGCGACTGCCATTGGCTGCTGCGCGCGATGACATAGCGCTCTTGCGCATAATGCGGCCGATGCGGCCGCTCGTCTGCTGCTCCTCCGTCCGGCGTCTTTGTGTTCCGCTCGCTTCCGTGTACCGTTGCAGCCGTTCGCATACTCTCCACGTTTCAACTGTCTTCGAAACGATTTTCAACCGTCTTTACGAGACGATTTTCAACCGTCTATACGAGACCGTTGTAGTGTTCGCTCAGGATGCGCCCAACGAAAAAGAAGACGCTACAATCGTTCGGTGCAAGGAAGCGAGCTATGAAGCTTGTCCGCGCGGCGAGGCTCTCCGCTCGCACGGGCGCCGACGGTGATCGCGCCGACGGTACCTGTGGGGCAGCTTCTGCTTCATCTACGCAAGAGAGTGGTCGCATCGACGCGCCTAGCAACGGGACTCCTGCTCCGCCGGTGCAAGAATTCGTCGTTACAAGTGCGCCTGGTGTCTCGTGCTCATCGACAGTGGCTTCCGCATCTTCTCTTTCATCGGCCTCGAGTGCGATCGCGTCGTCAACTGTGCATTTGCGAACAAGTTTCCTGACATGCGAGGAGAAAGAGGCGGCGGATCAACAACGCGCTGCTGTGCAAAGAGAGAGAGAACACAACTTTATTGTCGTCAGACTTAAGGAGGTAGGTGACCCGCCAGGCTGAACCTGATGGCCACCTCCTCTGCCCTTTGTACGGCCTGGAGCTGAACGGCCAGGCTGGTGGAGGTCAGAACTGCCTCCCACCCCTCTGGCGAGGGAGCGGCTAGGAGATCGAGAGAGGGGGGATCTTCCCTGCAGGCCCAGAGAATGTGATTAAGTGTGGCTATTGAGCCACAATGCGAGCAATGCGGATCAATCGAGTCGGGGTATATACGTGCATAAATGTATGGGCACGGAAATGAATGTGTTTGCAAGCGGCGCCAGATAACCTCCTGGCGCTTAGTTAGCTTATGGTGCGGGGGTGGTTTTGTCTGCCTCGAAAGACGGTAATATTGTGTGATGTCATGGTAGGATGTCAAGGCTTCACCAGGGTTTTCCAAATCAGAGGCGGGTACCACCGCTCGGCTGACGAATCCTCGAGCATATAGGTGGGCCGCCTCGTTCCCTGGGTTCCCCGCGTGAGCCGGCACCCATACCAGCGCAATGGAGGATAGTGCGTCTTCCTCAGCATCTGTAAGGAGACTGGGCAATAGTAAACGCAGAGTTGTGGGGGCCACAATGCCACGTGCGAAGTTGGATATAGCAGCCTTTGAGTCACTGAGTATAGTGGTGAATCCGGATGCTGCTGCTAGCGCTATCGCCGCTTCCTCAGCTTCTGTCGTATTAAGCACACGGACAGAAGCAGCCGCTTTAATTTGAGGTGAATTGGCGTTGTTGCCGGGGAGAGTGATTACGCTTATTGCATATGCTTTAGTAAACTCTCGGTATTGGGCGGCGTCAACGTACGCAACGGTTGGGTTGGACGCGTACGTTTTTTGCAAGAATTTGGCCCTCGCTTTCCTTCTACCGTCGTGATGGCTGGCCAACATGTTCTTTGGCAGTGGTTTTATGAGGAATTTCTTTCTGATGTTGGGGAGGATGACAGCCGGATCGTTACCCGTAGGAGATACCACATGGTCAATGTTAGCAAGGATCCAACGCCCCGTCCTGCTTCCCTGTAATCGGTGAATTTGCGCCGTAAGATGCGCTTCAAGAAGTTCTTCTAAGGTGTTATGCAGCCCAAGACTGAGGAGGTGCTCTGTCGATGTGTTTCGGGGGAGACCCAATGCCACCTTATACGCTTTGCGTAAGAGCCGATTTAGTTGGGCTCGCTCAGATTGAAGGAGGTGCAAATAAGGGAGGGCGTACGTGAAGCGCGACAAAACGAAGGCTTGAATTATCTGTAGCAGTTCTTTCTCCTTCATGCCTCGATTGCGAGCGCTCACTCGAGATATAAGATGGGCCGTCTGGTTCACGGTTACGGTGAGACGGTCTAGCGTAATGTTGTTGTGGTGGTTTGTTTGCACAATGAGTCCGAGTACTCTCATGTGGGCCACCTGCTTAATTGGCGTGTCATTGACATACACGTTAATACTAGGAAGTGGAGTCTTAATTTTGCGGCGATCTGGAGGTCGCAGTAATAGTAGCTCCGATTTGCTCTGGGAACACTCCAAACCCGCTTCTGACACGTGCTGAACGACTACGTCGGTTGCTCTTTGAAGAGTCTCCTCGATTTGACCATCGGATCCCACCGTCGTCCAGAGCGTGATGTCATCTGCGTAGAGGGT